GAGTGACTCATCATAGAGAGTCAGCACCTAAGAATTGTGAGGAGGGCTTCCCAGGTAGGAGACAGATAGGTGAAGGGTATTGGGGTTCTATTTGGTTGAAGACAGCGCCCACTTGGAGACAGTGTGCGGCAGACTAAAGCAGGATTTCAGAGTCTGAGCAGGGTGAGAAGCATGTCCATGCAGAGGGCTGACAGCAATCTGAAGAGGGCATCTGTTTGGTTTTCAATAGATATATAGATATAAATATAAATAGATAGATATACAGATATAGAAATATAAATGTAAATGTGTGAATGTATATATGTGTGAGTACCTATGTCTGTGGTGAGCCTCCAGGATTAGGGATCAACTGGTTAAATGTAATGAGTATTGTCCATGCAGGGTTATGCCCATATGGTTGGATAACATTTATCTTAGTCCAAGCGGTCAACATCAGCAGGCAGTTGAATATAGAGTCTCAGGAGAAAACTCTAGGATGGATAAATTGATTTGGGCTAACACAGCCTGACACATAGTAGGCATCCAGTAAATATTTGTTGAATGAGTAAATAAATGAAATGTACTAGTATATTTGTGAATCTCTAGCAAAAGCAACTGAGGGTATATCCTTCCAGTATTTTTCTATACCTGTGTATTTTTAAAGCAGAATAGGAATCAGTTTCATAATGTTATTTGTTATGTTTATTGCTATTTTATTTTTGAAAAATTAATATCACTTCATGTCAGGATAGTTATAACATAGCTATGAAATGCCCCCTTGTGACCAAAGACAGAAAAGGCATAAATTTAGCTGACAAGGGAGAGTGGTGTGGAGATAGCATAGAGAGGGGAAGCTTCTCAGCCTGGACCCACAGAGGTCTGACACTTACACCAGGTTTTTCTCAGAAGGAAGATGGAACAGAAAGCAAACAAGGAACTGGAAGAGCCAACAGCCCCATCTCACCTAAGAGAAAAGAGAAATAGAATTATACTATTTTCACTTTTACTTTTTTTTTATTGTAAAAACTCCACATGCTTATTGAAAAAGTTAAAACTGGAAATAGAAGGGTAAAGATGAAGTTAGAAAATTTTCCATGAAAACACCATCTAGAAATATTCACTTCAAATATTTTGATACTTATCTTTAACGTGTGTGTGTGTGTGTGTGTGTGTGTGTTTTGCATCTGACTTTTTCACAAAAGAGTATGTCAGGAACAGTTTCCCATGTTAATTATATATTTCTACATCATATTTTTTAATTCATGACAGTAAGGTTTTCCTCATGATTTCAAAATTTCTGGCAGGTAACTAAGTAAAATGGAAATGTGTAGGGAATTTTCTTTCTCATCCTACATTACAGAAACAGCACCAGAGTGCATAAATGATATAAATGTAGATAGAATTCATTTATTTCTTATATAATTCCCAATGAATGACAGTTATTCCATTTAGTGTATTACTATTTACTTTTATGCGAGGGATAAATTTGGGTGAAAGGAATGAGCATAGACTTTTGCTTTAGAAGGGTGGTGTGGAGTCAAGGAAGCACAGATTTTCTGAGTTTTATTTGAATATTATCTCAACATCACCCAATGATGATGATGATGATGATGATGACGACACTGATGATTATGATGATCAAAGATCTAACATTCTCTGAAGGCCTATTATATGCCAGGAATTTCATATAACTCTCTTCATTTACTTCCCACAACAGTCTTGTGGGTTATATAGGGTAATACTCATTTTACATATGAATGAACCAATCTGGCCTCACACTTCTTATAAGCATAGAATCCAATTCTAGTCAGTGTTTTACCATTCTACTGGATCCACCCTTTCAGATGATGAATTTCCAGGGCTTGGCCACCGATTGTTATAAATCTCCACAGGATGTGGCTTGTGCCCAACAGAAATCCACTAAGTATTCACTCAGTACCATGCCTTGATGATGATGATGATGATGATAACAGCAATGACAGTGGAGGAGAGGAAATTTTCTCTTTGATCTTAGAGTTTTATGTTCAGAGACCCCATGAACATCTTAGTCTCCAAGATAGTAGGTGTCCTCCAAGAAAGAAGATAACTGATTTATACAAGGTCATATACTATAAAGGGAATAGCCCAGATTGGAACCCAGGTTTATCTGGCTCTCAGGCCATATACTTAACCACTTTCCCTTCCTAAACCCAAACATTTTAATTTTCTCTTCACCTTATTGCCCAACCAGTCCTTTAGGATGTCAGAAAAAGTGGTCATGATTCCTCAGATGACAGACCTAAAGAGCAAGGGTTACAATGGCATTGCTTCCTCCACCATCAATGCCTTAGAAAGCACTGTCACACCAATTCACAGCTTGACTGCCCAGGCCCTCGAGCTGTGGGCTGGGCATGGAATACATACAGGTATTCACACAGAAGGTGACACCCCTTTTCTCCGGAGCTGTAGGACCACGTGCCTTCAGAAGCTCCCTTTACCTGGGATCCCTGTGCCTCTGGGCTTGGGGGGATGTAGACATCATAAACACTGCACCCGGCACACACACAGCTACAGTCACCATAGAACCACCAAAACAGGCTGGGGCACATCTGAGGCCCTTCTGGGAGTATGAACAAGATAGGAGAAGGATAAAAGAGGTCTTGTTTGAGATCTATCCCCATTTTCACCACAATTGTTTTGGGAGCTACTTCACTGGACTCTAAGAGAAGGGCCAGCCCCTTCTGCTTTAACGCCAAGTTACCTGGTCAGACCCAGTAAAGACAACTGCTTGACCCAAGACTGTCATGACCCATGTTTGCGGTTAGTAATCTTTGGGGCTTTATCTAGTCCCTTACAAAAAGTTCCCCAAAAGAGAAAAGGGAAAGGAAGGAAAGGCAAAGTGTTCTGACCTGCAATGGGGACAAGTCATTGTCCTCCAAGTAAGTATGTACAGAGCAGCACGGCCATAGGAGGGTCTGGTGCCCGCTGCAGGCTGGAGCAGAGAAACCGAAGTCAGACCACCCTGGAGAGGAGTGTGGTTGGGGTGAGCACTTCCACATCCCGCCTGAGCGCCACCCCTCAGTGCCAGGGGGATGGATTCGTCCTGTCTGTAAAACTGCCGGTGAGTTCTGGACCCTCATCTTACTTTAGCCAGAATCCAGCCCCACCAGCAACTGCCAGGCTGCCATACCTTGAAACTGCTCTAGAGATTAAGATCCCCCAAAATGCCACTGCACAGTACAAAAATAAAAACAAGAAAACCAAAGGGCACAGGGTTGGCTCACTGTTTTGAGAGCCGATCACAAACAAGAGAACTTGTATAGATTTTACTGACATTGGAAAAGTGAATGCATGGCCAAACATGGTGTACGGTCAAAAAAAGCATCTTATATTACATTCCCTCCCGTGGCTTTGTTTTTGGTAAAGGGAATCTTTTTAAATTTTAAATATAAATCTGTCAATATTTTCCTTTAAAAATTCATACTTAAGGGCTGGCCGAGTGGCGCAATGGTTAAGAGCTGGCCAGAGGGCCCCGGTTCGGATCCCACATATGAGGGCCAGTGACACTGCCCTCCACAGCCAAGATGCTGAACAACAGCTCAACCTGGAGCTGGGATGCCGTGAGTTGCCGGCGATGGCGTAGGCTGCAGCCCCTGTGGCAGTGGGTTGCCATGGGCTACCGTGTAGCCGGCAGCCAACGTGAGCGGCCAGCAGCTGCAGTGAGCGGCCGTCCAGAAGCCGGCGACTGGTGTGCCTCACCCGGGAAGAGCGCAATGATGGTGCCAACTTGGGCCGGTGAAGCAGCGTCATCCACAACTAGACTGAAGAACAAAACGATAGCAACTTGTCTGTTCCCCTTCCCCCAATTCCCCAGCACTGTTCCCATCCCCGCAATTCCCCAATAAAAATCTTTTTAAAAAAAAGTTCATACTTAAAAAATGGACACTGTTATAGGCCTCTACCCCCTGAATTTCAATAAACATTCACCAACATTTTCTTCTAATTATTTTATGGTTCATATTTGTAATAATGGAAAGCATACTGTATATACCAGTTGTCCTCCTGTTTCAGCATGTATCATAATCACCTGGAGGAACCTGTGAACTGTTATTTCTGCAGCTTACCTTTAATCAGTGAGTCTTAAATGGGGTCCAGAAATCAGTATTTTAAAGACATGTCCCAGGTGATTCTAATGCAAGTGATTATGTAAAACGGGTAAAATATTTGGAGTGCAATCTATTTCATGCACTTTTTGGAAGTGCTTGTTACAATAGTAGAGAAATAAGACTTTGGAAGATTACTGAGTCAATGGCAGAATTTGGACAAACCTACTGGCTCCTCAATCAAGAAATCAATTAAATATTAAAGCATGATGTGTCAGTTAAACACATGTAGGAATACCAGGAGGAAAAGATAATCTTTGACTTGTAGGGGAAATATAATTCCTAATCAAACTTCTATCCCAGTCCAGCTCCCAAAATGGACTCATCATGTCTGACTCCTCTAGAGAGGTGGGATCCTGGGATTAAAAACAGAAGGGGCTGTTTTGCTAAGAACACTGCAAGACATCGTGGCCCAAGCAATCCTGGAACAGTCCCCACCTGGGTTATGTCACTCTAAAGCAGAGAGAAGCTTCAGAAACAGTCGGGGTTCAACCCACTGGGGACTCCAGGTAACTCAGTGGGGTTTTGACACTTGACTCCAGTGCCCCAGAAGCTGTGGGGCTAGCAGAGAGGAAAGGACCCAGCGGAAGAGATAGCAGTGCCCAGCAGGCATGGCAGGACTCAAGGGAGGAGACTGAGGAGCTCACCAGCAGAGGACTGGCATAGAAGCCCCCACCTCCCTGCCTGTTGAACTGGTTCCTGAGCACAGGTTGTCATGCCAGGACCCTCCCTCAAATAACTGATGTTCTGTTGTGGGTTGGGCTCTGTATGCACAGGTGGGGACAAGAGCCCATCAAGCACAGGTCAGTCACCTTTCTTCCCCACAGCAGCCCTGTGAGGCAAATGTTTTCCCCATGAAAGGATCAAGTCTTAAGCAAGTGCACCTGTAATCATTGCCAGTTTTATTCCTCTGGCTAAGAGATCCAGAGGTGATTTGAGGTTTACATTTTTATAGTTATTTCATCAAGAGTTTAACGTGCCCCCATTGCCCTTATAAGCTAGTTGCAAATTGTTTGACTTTTACTTATTAAAAAAATTCATTCTGTAACATGTTCATTAAAAAATACACATAAGCAAAAACAAAAAAAAAAACCCCACACCACACAGGAATAAGCAGTTTTGATATATGTTCGTACATATGTATGTATGTATGCATGTATACACACGCACATGCACACATACAATTTGGGATTTTATCCTACATATGTGAGCTGATACTAAATATGCTTTGTAACTTATGCTTTACTTTACAATATGGAATGAACATATTTTCATGCATATGTGTGAAACTTCCCAATTGAAAAAATAGACCTAGAGAATGGGTCAAAATACAAAATCCAGTGAGATGCTGGTAACAAGGAAACTACCTAAAACAAAATCTCACCAGATGATTAAAAGTAAAGCGAAGGTAAAAGATACATCAGGAAATGCTAACAGAAAAAAAGCAGGGGCCAGGTTTTACTACCAAACGGAAAAAAAAAAAAAAGAATTCAAGGTCTAAAGCACACAGGATAAGGACGGCTCCGCGAATGTCTTTGCTTCCAATGCATCATCACAAACTTGTTTCTTACTCTTCTTATTTCTTCCCTAAGCCTTTCCAATTCATCTACTCCTCTTAGCATTTCTTCAGGGTCCAAATTCCTAACGGGAGTGTCCTCTTTAAATCCCTGGCCAGATTCAGTCAGCCCGCTTCTTAGATTTCCTTCTGCTTCCTGGGTTACGCCTTCTTCCGAAGGTTGAGGATTTCCTTCTGCCTCCTGTGGTGCATCTTCCGAAGGGCGGTCTTCCTCGGCTTTTGGCATGTTCTGTGGTTTTCCTTCATTTTCTTCACAAGACTTTTGCATGTTGAGTATTTTTCTATTATTTCCTTCTTAATAAATTAATCCTAGAAAACAAGGAAACAAAACGACTAGATGACAAGCAAACAGACCAGCAGCCAGAGCATGGGTTCCCATAGAGACTGGCCTTTTATCATTCAGGTCCCTAATCTGTTAAAAGTTTTCCAACTAGAAAAGGCCAGATCCCCAGGCTCGGAACTCCCCTGACTCCACCCCTTCCTCCACCTCCCTTCCCCCCCCTCTCGCTCCAGCTCCATCTTCTCTCTTCCCGCTCTAGCCCACCATTTCCCAGCAGGCCCCGCTACAGGCCTCTGCTAGCCCAGAAATGCATGCTGCGCGGAAGCAATTAACCCTTCCCTTGCTGCCACTGGTCTCTAACACTCCCGCCCTTTCGGGCTTTCCCCAGCCATCCCAACCTCCTGCCTCTCACCTGAGACCGGCTGGTCCAGTCTCTGGCCTCCCCTCCCCCTTCCACGCCTCTCCAGTCTCCCCGGTACCCTCCCCCGCCTCATTTCCGCTGCAGGCTCTGCAAAGGCCTCTGGCGCTTTACCCGGAAGGGGAGAAGCTGCAGCGACCCGCAACCCGGAGAGGTGCTTTGGTGTCATCCACACTCCCACCCCAAGGGACCTGAGGCAATTGCACTGTTACACTGACCTGCGGGGATCCAGGGGATCTTTCTCCCTCTTCCCTCACTCGGTTTCTGCGCGCCCAAAGGACCAAGAGTCCTGCAGACCAACAAGAGTGCTTGGTGAGCAGGCCAGTGCCTGAATCACGGGTCCCTTTCACGATTCGAGGCCTTGTTCGTCTCAAGTTTCCCCACGTCCTTATTCTCTCCCTCCTTTTACGGCAGCCCCGCCCTCCCTCCCCGTTGCCTACCGGTTCCCAGCAGGCAGGGATCGGGAGACGCACGTTATTTCCAAATTGCTTTTATGTCTCTCTCGCAACCCTCAATTGGCTACTCTTCTCCCTCTCCACCCCTACACCTCCCCCCCTCCCACCACACACACACACCAGGCAGCCCACAATTTCTTGCACAAAAATGGGAGTTTGGCAGAACAGTAGTGTTGAAAAACAGTGCCGGCCTTGCTTGGTTTCTGCTCTCTGACTCCTATACCCCCGGGTTCCCAAGGCAGCGCCCACCTTTATACTGACCTGAAAGGATCCGGAGCACTTTTCTCCTTCTCCAGCAATAGGGTGCAGCTTCAGGGAAACAGGCCCCAGACTATAAGGACTTCTGCACACGTCGACTCCTGGTCACGTGAAGGTTGCGCGTCATCAATGAGCTCGAGTCTTCAGTTACCCCTCCCATTTAGTACTGCAGCCCGCCCCCTGCATTCCCTCCACTTAGTACTGCCAATCTTTTTTGGTATTTGCCAGAGACAATAAAACTGGTGTCATCTCCCTGCAGTTTTTATTCGCCTTCCTCGGATTACCAGGGAGGATTAGGCTCATGGGATTAATCGACCATTTCTCCTTCTTTGAAGAATCATCTCTTTCACACTCCTGCTTCCAATTCGCCCATCTCCCCTTCTTCCCCAAGACCCTACAATCAACCATTTCCACTAGAGTCTTATTTAGCATTAAAATGGGAGAAGGTGGTAGATGGGGGGACGACTAGAAAAGAATCTAGGAATGAGGGTATGGGATGTTTTTATAGACAGCTCTCTTGAAAAGATTTCTGGGTTTTAAAAATATTTTAAACAATCAGCACACTTTTAAAAACACTTTAAAAAGAGATGCCACATAAGCAATATTTGACACACTATGGGAGGTAAATTAGTTTATATCAATTTTTAAGACTTTGGAAAATTTTTCTAATGGCTACAAATGAAGTGACAGTTTTCACAACATATTCATGTGTTAGAAAAAAATTTGTTTAACTCTTGTTGAAGCAGCACCTTTAAAAACTGTTTCCCCCCAACAAAAAAACTGTCTCCCAAATTAATCTATGTGAAAAGACCCCAGTTGTCTCTTGTTAGCAAATTTACATAAGTAATTCGCTACTTTTTCTCTTTCTGGCTGAATTCGAGTTGTCAAGTGCTAGATGTCTGACCTTTTCATTGATGAGTGCTGGATGATTCCACTTGGGTTTCACATGGAGGCTTCAGACAGACCTCCTTCTTGTGTCCTCTGTAGGACGGAGCACCTTGTTAATCAAATGAGTCCATAGAAAAGCCTGCTTTCCGCGGAGTGAACTTTATTTTGGAACTCAGGGAAATAAGTTGGAAAATAACTCTCATACATTCATGAAACACTCAGAGCAGAGAGTTCCCTGTATCTCACTATTTGAAGTGAGGCTTACTAGCAGGTGGAATTTTCATTTATTCGTTGGCACTCTGGAAATATTCTGGTATCATTCGCTTTGTTCCATTAAAAAGAGAACTATCAATCTGCATAATTGCTATGATCAGAAAGCAGAGGGAACATCATTGCTGTAAAAAATATATTAGTTAAAAGAGGAAACTGATATCCTCACAACCCAGAATGCACTGGTACGTGGAGGTGCGTTGGTGCTGGGAATGGCAATCTGGCCAGTGAAGCCAGCTGCAGAGTCAGGGGAAGGAGACAGAGGTCTCTTGTCTAGGATGGTCACAGTGGGATATGGTAGCCCACCACGGGGAAGGAAGGGTTGGAAAAACTAAATGTTTTTGCTGGCTTAAAGTTTTATAATTTATATTTAAGCATGAAACAGTTATTCCACCCTTGAGGGATACATTTTGTATTATTCGAGGGCGGATTTTTAATGTAAATTTAGCTAGTGAATTATAAAGATGTAATCATTAATTACCACGAAATGTTTCCGTTCTTTCAGATGTTACATTTAAAGGAGGACAACTCTGGTATTTCAAAATGATTATCATACAGCAAAATTGACCCTTTTCTGGGTGTTCATTTCCATGAAGTTTCACAAGTATATAGATTTGTGTAACCACCACCACAATCAGTATACATAGTTCAATTACCCCCAAAACTCCTTAATGCTGCCCCTTTGTAGTCATATCTTAGCCCTGTCCTGAACTCTGGCAGCCACTGATCTATTCCAGATTCCTATAGTTTTGCCTTTTTCAGAATGTTATATAAGTGAAATGTACCATATGTCACATTTAGAGACAGGCTTCTTGAACTCAGCATAATGCCCTGAAGATTCATTTAAGCTGTTTCATGTGTCAATAGTTCATTCTTTTCTTTGTGCTGAGCAGTATTCTGTCATTTGGATGTTCCAGCTTGTCTGTCCATTTACCTGCAGAAGGACATTTGGGTTGTTCCCAGTTTTTAGTAATTATGAAAAGAGCTGCTGTAAACATTTGTGTACAGGTCTAGGTCCTTATTGCTTCACATCAGTAACCTCTTCTCTGACCCATCTGCCTTCAAAACCTCCTTATCCCTTTCCAATTTACCTTGCATGTCACCATCAACTTAAATGTTACTCTTCCTTATTTTCAACTTGTCATTCTCCTGCCTGAAGGCCCTGGATGGCAACCCCACCATCTGTGAAGTAAATCCTACTTTCCTCATTCTGACATTCAGTGTTGATCAGAATTGAGCATTGCGACTCACATTCCCAGCCTTCTCATCCATTTCTCTGCCCCACCCAAAAGGTACTCTCATTCACTGTGGCCCCAAGTATGCCTTCTTCTCTCTCTTTGTCCTTGCATGACGTTTTCTTTCTCCTGATTACCCTCCTCTTCTTCATAGATCCTGCTTCTGCACATTCTTAAGGGAACAGCCTTCATCACCCAGCCTCTGAAGCCACCACAGCTGAAAGTGATCTCTTCCTCCCCTGTCGATGCTTCACATAGAGTCTGCACCCCTCATGTTGCTCTTAGCAAAGGTTGCCTTGTATACCTTTCCCCTTTCCTTTGTGTTTGTGTGTGGAATAGTGGGGAGTGAATAGAGAGGGGAGGGTTATTTAACCAGTTGAATGGTCAGACATGGATTGGGGATGGGAAGTGGAGGTCAATCTCCAGCTTTCATGATGCTTGAATTGCTCGTGTAATTTTAAATGGTGCATCGCCCAGAAATCTCAGCATTTCAGAAGGAGCTGTTTGCCAATTGGCTCAGAGAGGAACCTTCTTCCTGACTGCACAAAAATTGGAACAGAAGTTTCATTGTTCTCTCCTCTGTTTATTCTGCTTACATGTAGTCATAGCAACCCTAACACCATTTTTGTGACGTTGTTGACAGAGGATACTGACCCTGTTTCCCTAAATACTCACAAGAGAGATCAGTCAGCTCACTGGTGCACACCTGACAAAGATCCAGATGACGCAAGTCTTCACCTTCGTCCTTGTCCCTGAGCAATTTCAGTGCATTAATGGAACACTCAGCTACCTTGGAAATTAAGGTAATCACGGTAGCTTTTAAATGTAAGTAGATTTTTTTAAGACAATAACATGCTGTTTAAGTAAAAACAATATTTTAAAAACGAATGAAAAAGGTGCACATATTAATTTTAACAATGAAGACATGAGTTCTGGAGAGTAGACATGCTGAGCCTCTGACCTCATCAATGTCTTGTTCTTGTGCACCAAGAGGGTGCTATGGATAGCTCCAAACTCCCCAGGTGGTATGAGGGGAGGAGAAAGGAGGCAGCATTTTACCATTCCGGAGCTCTTATACACGACTATGATATCCAGAATACTATTTTCTGTATTCCCATTAGAAGTCACTTAAACTTCCATGGTCTTGTGTTCTGAGGCTCTATATTCAACAACTCCTCCTGCACATTTCTTTATTGCTGTTTTCAAAGCTCATACCATAGAAGAGCTTGGGATGGCTATCTCTATCCCTCACTTCTCTAGCATGTTTTTTGTAGCTTGAACCGCCCCCCCCCCAACATGGCAAAATCTGTTCCAGATCCAAAGGTTTGGTGGCATAGCATGCACTTAAGAGACCATCATCTGAGATGACTTGCCCTTCAGAGTGCAAACAGACCCAATACATTCTATCACTGCTCAACTGAGGGCAATCTACTTATGTTCCAGTGTGAGTGGCGCACACAGAGTCTGAGCTGATTTTCACTTAGATTATACCTGCTTTAGAAAGTAAACTCTTCTACCATCCCTTCTGTCACTGTGTTCCCTGATATTTGGAAATTTGGCATGGGTAAGTTTCAAAAGTTCCACAAAGTATTTAGAATAGCCACTGGCTACATCCAAGCAAATGAACTGAACTTGAAGCACGGCTTCTGTGATATTTCTCATCTCTTCCAGATAATTCTGCCCACTTCCTTAACTCCAGCTAAATGCTGCACACATTGTAGATTATTGTGGGAAAGATATCCAGTTATCCAGGGCATAATACTTACGAATTGTTGTGACCCTGAAATGCTTGGCCATAACCACGGCCATTTTAAATGCCTCCATAGTGTTCATGTTGGAATCCTTTGCTAAGGGCCACATTGCTAAGTAATAGGAATCCCTGAGTTGGTCTGCTTAGACTTTCAATAGGTGACAGTATGTTCAGCATCCACCTGTGCTAGAGTCTCATGATTG